CTGGTCCGAGGTCGGGGAGCCGGGCCCGCGGGGCCGGGAGCCTGGGTCGCGGGGCCGGGAGTGGTCGGCCGGGGCCGGCACCCCAGGGCCCGAGCCGACCCAGGCTGGAGCCGCCGGGGGGCCAGCCTGGGCCGCGCCTCCTCCCCCCCACATCCCCCTTACCTGCTACAGGCTTCCCGCGACTCAAATGTTCGCGGGAAGCAGGGGAGGGGGCGGAGACTTTGGGAGGGGGCGGAGTTGGGGCGTGGGCGGGGCTGGGGGCGGGGCTGGGGCCCCGGGGAGTGTCCTCCATTTGGAGGCACAAAATATGGTAACCCTATGCATGGATACGCCAGTTACATGACCTTATGGGCTTTGGGACTCAGCTGGATTGCTTCCTGGAACATTTTCTGTGCTTATTGTGAACAGCTTCCCCGTGTTTGCTTGCAAAACATGCCCTTATGTGAAAATAGAATGAATTATATTGTAAAAATAGAATGGATTGAAGAAATGCTGTATGTTCCTTTAAGCAGGAATAAGGAATGTTGAAATATAGTTGTCAGGAAGAGAAACATTAAGGTATGAAACAATGGGTCCACTTAAGCTAATGGTGGGACATTAACAGGAGATCGGTAATAGTTAGTAAGGAAATAAGATATGTATATCTAGCCCCAGGTAAACTTATCCGTTCTGCTTCCTTTTGTTATCTTGTTAAGTTTGCGCCCTTTTATCTGTATAAATAAGATAGTTTGAGTCTTGCATGGGGCTCACATTATCTGGATGTATTAGCAGGGCGCTTTGCTAATAAATAGAGTGGTCTAACAAATTGTGAGTCCTGAATCTGACTTTGACACTTATGACTCCAATGCCAATAGTGGGTAGACTTATATGCAGTACTTTGTCTGATCTTTGGTTGTGGTTGATGGGCCAATTGACTATTCTTGCATGTCTAGCTTCTGTCTATCTAGGGGTAAGTCTACACAGCAATCAGGAGGCATGACTGCAGCACATATCTGAGCTAGCTTTAGCTCACTAAAAATAGCATTGACACCACAGCGGCAGGGGTTAGCGACCCAAGTGCTATCCTGCCCAGGAGCCTGTGTACATAGTTGGGCAACTAGTTCGTGCCGCTGCAGCTACACTGCTATTTTAGTAAGCTAGCTCAGGTGTGCCTACATGTGCTTCATCTGTGCTTCCCAACTGCAGTGTAGACATCCCCTAGGTACTTTTATAGAATCATAGAAACGTAGGGCTGGAAGGGACCTCAAGGCATCATCTAGTCCAGCCCCCTGTGCTGAGATAGGACCAAGTATACTATCCCTAACAGATGTTTGTGTGACCTGTTCTTAAAAATCTTCAATGGCAGGAATTCCACAATCTCCCCTGGAAGCCTAGTCCAGTGCTTAACTATCCTTACAGATAAACAGTTTTTCCTAGTATCTAAACTAAATCTCCCTTGCTGCAATTTAAGCCCATTACTTCTTGTCTGACCTTCGGTGGACATGGGGAAAAATTGATCCCTTCTTTTGGACTCTCAAATTTGTCCACATATTTCTTAGTGTGGCACGCAGAACTGGACACAGTGCTCCCACTGAGACACCAACATGGCCGACTAGGGTGGGACAATTGCCTCCCAACTCTTCCATATGACGCTCTTGTTAGCACACCCCAGAAGTGATATTCCTTTCAACTGCCTCATATTGTTGACTCAAATTCAACTTGTAATCAGCTATAACCCCCACATCCTAGCCAGTTATTCCTTATTTTGTATTTGTGCATTTGATTTTTTTCCCTCCCAAGTGTAGTACTTTGCATGTGTCTTGATTGATTTTTTTTTTCTGTTTATTTCAGACCAATTCTCCAACATGGGCCTCATCACCATAATAGCTGAGTGCCTCAAAATCATTAATGGATTTTATCCTGTCAGGACTCCTGTAAAATAGGGAAGCGTTATTCCTGTTTTACAGTGGGGGACCTGAAGCACAAGGTAGATTAAGTGACTTATCCACGGTTGCACAGGAAGTCTGTATCTGAGGCAGGAACTGAATCGGGCTCTCCAGAGTCCCTGTCTAGTGTCTATCGACTAGACTATACTTCCTATCCTGCTCCTAGGGGAATACTTGTTCTCATTAGTGGCCAACAGAAGATGTTGTTTCTGTATTGGCATATTCAGTATGGTGGGAAACGGGTGGTGGTGGAACTAAAAATCAAATACATCAGATAAACTGAAAGCAGCAATTCCTGTGTCCATACTAAAGCATCTAATAAACTCTGCAGGTCAGCACACAGACACCCCCACAATTTCTTCCAGCCTCGTTGAGAATGAAACCAATGCCCAAGTGTTATCCATTTGACTTGGCCAGTCATGGACAGCTCCAGTAATTCAATCTGAAACACCAAGACTCATGTTGCTTTATCCGTTCATTCACTGAACTCTGCCCATGGCTTCGTGGTGAGATAAATTGTCTATTCGAAGGGTTTGGTTGTGACCTAAGCCCACGGGTTCTGGATCGACTTTAGGCTTCTTTGAATAGAGCGGCTTTACAATCACTGAGTTGAAAGCATTTTGATTGCTTCCAGGATTACTGCCCTGTGTGTTTATTCCTTGAGTAAGGACGACTTCATAACTCAGGGACTCCCTTCAGTTCCTGACAATGTATATATATTGCAATCTTATAAGAATAATTACCATAGCCAATGATATTTTACTCTTGTCTTGCCAACATAAACAACTCGCTGGACTTACCAAATTGCATTGGGTCATCCTGAATAATTAGGCTCGCATGCTCTATTTATTACCTTGAAAATCCTTTCCCCTTATTTCGTTTTAAATGTAATATGTTTAAATGAAAACCAGATACAGCTTAGAAGGAATTTGAAATATGAAGCTGAGTGTGGAAGAAGCAGTGAAAAAGTCCCCTGCTAATAGGAAAAGCTGAGCCATTCGGGGCTATGGAATAAAGGAGGGTCAGGCATGAGTTGCCGCATGGGGCTTAGTTTGGGTTGAGTCTCTGCAGACAGTCTCGTGTTTAAGGAAATAGAATAAGTAATTGAGCAGGTAGTTTATAATGACATCTCAGTCGGATGCACTGAGGAATGCGTTTGGGGTCTATTGCTGCCCGCGCTGGTATTTTAGAAGATCCCTTATGCTCTCCATTTAAGTGGTTTTGAGCCTCCAGTCAGGCTGTGCAGCACGAACCAGAGTGGCTTCCATAGAGTGCAGCAAAGTGATTCTAAGGGGCTTTAGCACAGGATGCAGAAACTCTACCTTCAGAGTCAGTAGGCAAGGAGTTAAATGTGGTTCTTAAACCCCAAAAGGCAGAAGGGGCCGTAGGGCCCAGGCAGGGCTGCTGACTGAAGGCTGATTTGGGTACTAAAGATGTGAACCAGGGGGCTTTATACAAAGAGTATCGCAGGTAGTGTGAGAGAGAAGGGGGAAGGTTAGCAATGGAGTCTAAGGGAGTAACAATAGGCAGTAATTCATGGAACCCATATACAATCAGATATTGCCTCAGTGAAATCTATAGGGCCAGATCTTCGGCTGGTGTAAATCAGCCTAACTCCATTTAAATCAATGGAAATGGGGTGGTTTACACCAGTGAGGATCTAGCCCATTACTAACAATAACTCCAGAGTCTCTACCCAGCTGGCTATTACAATAGTCACTCTACTTCCTGGACCAAGGAAGAGTCTGTGCCATTCCCAGTCTCTCACGTGGTGAAGTCCTTTCTACCCAAAGGTGAGAAATGATGTCTTTGCTTATACCCTCATCCAGCTGGCTTCCTACCGATCACTAACTATGAGCAAGACACATACTAATGCCCCATCAGAGTACAGTCAGGATTCAGGCTCTGGCCATAGAAGTTGAGGAGTGATGAATGGAGGATAGGGTATGACAATGGAAGCCAGGCTTTCCTCTTTCCCTCTCCTCCAGCTTGCACCAGCAGATGGCTGCTTCTCCACTGTAGCAGGTGCTTAGACAACACCAGCAGCTACTCTGGGTGAGCTCACAGCATGAGGGATGGAGTGACTGCTCTCTGATAGGGCGGGGAACCTGTGAGTCACAGCAAAATGGGCTGGCTGACAAAGTTCAGAGGTTCCATTCAGATTAACACCCAAAAATTTAGGTGCTTCCTTGAGTTTCTTGGGTCAGTGAATCTTCTGAGCCCTAGGATTGTGAGAAAGTTACCCAAACATATTTGAGTCTGGTGTGCATTATATTCCAGGTTACCAGGAGCTCCTTAAATTAAGAACCTGAGACTTGACAGTGAGGTGCATGGTTTTGAGCTGTATCCGTTATTGGTGGACAGTCTTTGTATGGTCAAAGAAGCTTCTAAACTCTTGAAGGTGGGGGAAGAGCTGAAGGGGATTCCAATGTCAGCTGCATTCTGCACAGACCTCTCTGCCTGTGGGTGATCCCAAAGTTCTGCTCTCGCACTCTGCTCTGGGATAT